ATAGATAGATAGATAGATAGATAGATAGATAGATAGATAGATAGATAAAATCAGGCCTGTCGCAACACATGAATTAAGGGTATCCAGTGTTTTGTCAGCAGCAGCACTGTCATATTTTGTGAAATATTTAAACACACTCTTGCAACTTCATGTTCAAACATTTCAGTCACTCAGTGCTGCTGATACAAGCGTAAAACCGTGTGCGTAAAAGTCTCCTGCGGCACTTTGGCACAGCCGGGTGGAGGCAGCAGACGTGAAAACACGTTAATCTCACTCCCTTGAAAAATCGATCCTGTTATGCTACATCTATCATTCTAATATGGAAAATTCGGAAGAGTGTCAAGAACTTTGGAGCACTTATTTTTGTAATTTCTGTGTAAATTTGCGCACGACGCATCATCAAGCGCATGTTTAAGTCTCTAAAAATCCCCCATTTCTCTTTTTTTTCTTCCTTTTCTTAAAATGTGGTTTCACATCTCTTGCTGAAGTGTTAATCCTCCCTGCAGGTCACATGGATGCGGGCCAAAGCACCTGCTGACGGTGGAGGCGCCACTTAACGCAGCACTTTTTTATGTTAATGACGGGTCCGAGCGCCTCCCAACCCCCCACTCCTGCCTTCAGGGCGCAACACCTTTAACGGACTCCGGCACATCTGTCGCTGGAAGGCATAGTTCCCATTGGGGGGGTGTTTAGATATGTTCTGGAAAACTGGGGTCCTTATTGTGGGGTGCGTTCTGCTCCCTTTCTGTCTTCTGGGCGCGGAGAGCAGCGGCCGGTGGGGGAAATCGGTGACTTTCCATCGGACTCGGGGCAAAAACCGCCCCGAAAGGGAAACCAGCAGCTCATCCAACACTGGGAACTCTTCTCAGGGTCATGCTTTCACCTCCTGTCGCATCCCACTCACCCCGGCCGAACACGAGGTTCTGGATGACAACACACATGAGGTAAGATGGGTTTGACTCCTTGTGATATCTCAAGCGTCATCCTGTTAATGAGTAATCCAACTATTTGAGTCTGAGCAATATAATATTACATCAAAACCTGTGGGATTACTGACTATTAGGCGGAAATGTACTATTTATTTATCAGCTACATATTAGCCAGACAATTAAAATCCCAATTCCGACAAAGGTTGTGCAAAAATAATTGTTTCCCACATTTCATGATGATGCATAAACACACGTGTTTAAAATAAGAAACTATATCCTTTCCTTGTCTGTAAATGTCTAAGAACTGAAGAGACCACTTGGGGAAGTGTCTCATTTTCTGATATTTTAGCTGTTTAACTGCTGGAAAGGAGCATGTCTTGTTTTAAAACATGCATGTGCTTTACTGCTTTGATAATGTCTTTATGTATAAGCTGTCCGTGCCATAGAGATTAATGCACCCCTATACCATCATAGAGGCAGGATTTTGAACTATGTGCTAATAACAAACCAGATAATCCCATTAATGTGATGTTTGTGGGATCAAAACAAATTTCAAATTTAGATTTGTCCGACAACAGAACAGTTTTTTGTTTTGCCTCAGTCCATTTTAATTTTGGCCTAGAGAAAATGGTGGCGTTTATGGCTTTTGCTTTGGACGAGAGAGGCATAACCAGGATTTGTGGATGTCACAATGAAGTCTTCTTCAGTGGCTGTTCCTGAGCCCATGCAGCCATGTCCTGAACAGACTTGTTTTAAATGCAAAGGACCCAAAGGACACTATGCTGACTTTACGTCTTCATTTTTTTAACTTGGAGATTTTTACAGATTCTTGAAATCTTTTGATGATTTTATGACCTGAAGATGATAGAATATTCTAAGTCTTTCCAATTTTCCCAATGAGGAACATTATTTTTTTTATTTCATATAGTTGCAGTTTTTCGCAGACTGTCAATTTTCTGCCTGTCCTTAAGATTCAGCCTCTCTAAAATGCTCGTTTTACTGACCTGTTGCTGTTAGCCAGTGGTATAGTCTACTGTACATTTTTGTAGTGGGTATAAACCAAAGTACACTGGTTAGTACAATGTAATTGTCAATTTATTTAGATTTTTAAGCATATTGAACATTTCCAATTTTCTCTGATACTTATATTTGAATAAATAAACAACAAACTTTGTACAACAGTTTTATTTGTATTAAAAACATGTTATAGAATTTATAAAACTGTATCAAAGCAAAGCGCTGCTTACCGATAAGATTGTTACAGAAGGGTTTAACTGCCATTTAATGTATCAGTAACACATAACTAATGACATGTCATGTATCACTGGGTACTTTAAAGTGGGTATACTGAAATTCTTAAGTTTTTCTAGTGGGTATGTGTACCCCAGTATCACGTAGATTACACCACTGCTGTTAACCTAATATGATGCAAAATACTCCTCTAGTAGTTTCTTATTTATAAAATGTACTTTTACTTTATTTTGACATTCCTGTCCCAACTTTTTTGAAAGGTGTTATTGTCATAACGCTTAAAATTCATCCCCAAAGAAATGGTACAGTTTCTTAGGTTAAATGTAATCATGTATACTTTGTTTCCCTGTGATTAAAATGTGATTTATTTATTTTTTTGAGATATGCAAATAATTGAAATCTGTTTTCCTATACATTTTACACACCGTCCTAATGTTTTTTGGAAATGAAGTTGTACATCAACAATAGTTATTTGGTGGTCCCTGGAGTGAAAGTTGCGTTAACAAAAGGGATTTAACAGAACTGATTTAGTATTATTGCCTAAGTTTCCATGTTTGAGCCTCTCTGGCCTGTTTTTCCCTCCTAGACAGGGTTTAATGGCGATGATGGCTCCTACGTGATTCTCACATGGGTGGGCGACGGCACAGGAGTGAGTATCATGTGTCTCTTATTCTGAAACATGAACATTTCACCTCCACTCCATTGTTTTCAAAGACAAATGACCCCTAAAGCTCCTTTCACTGAAACATATGGCAAAACAGAAAGAGCGAACAAAACATTTTGTTTATCCCTGTCATACACTCGTTGGATTTCTTAGGTGATTCTGGTGTTGTCAACAATCAGCTCTCCGCTTGATTCTTTTCTCGAAGGAGGCTCGTCACGACTTTACAGGAGGTGGGCCACCATGTGACCTGCAGGTTTATCCAGCTCTTTGTGTGGAACTTTGTCGAAACGCTTTTCTTTTTGTTTTCCCCTTCAGTACCGATTACGGCAAGTCCTTTCATGACATCTCCCAGAGCATCAACCACACCTTCATCAAAGAGGAGTTTGGAGTCAGTGTTGGACCAGGAAGCTCAGTGAGTTAATGCTATAGTTAACATTTTGCATTGCATGGGTAGGAGCTTCTGTGCTGGCATCTTTGAAAATAACTGCGAGAAACCTGAGAACTGCTTTAGGGTTCTGAAGTAGGTCAAATCAGAAAATGGGTTCATGGTTCAAGTGCTGTTTGAGGTCCCTCATATGGTGCTTCTATACTAAAAATACAGCTTTGTGTCGTCTAATCAACTCCAACCATGTCCTCGTCATCACACCCCTCATCCTCTAAGTGTCATGGCTGAAATATTTTTCTCAGAATTTTACAGTGTATAAAATATTTAACATAATTCATACATAAGGGAAATCTTGCAGACCTAAGGGGATGGAATATAATAGGCAGAATTTCACTGTGGCACATCTGAAATATAAAATTCAAAACAGATGATTAATTAAAAAAAAAAGGAAAAGATTAAAAGACATCGGGCCTGGCTCAGCATAATTACTGTTTTACAGCAGGTTCCCGTTCTGCAGAACATAAAAAAAACACACAGATATCCAGCATCACATCACACACACACACAGACATACCACATTGCAAAGTACAAGAATAGCAGCATATACACGGGAGACACCTAACGGTGATTGCAAAAGAAGGTGTCCAACAGATGACGCGCACAAGTCTTTTTAAAAAACGCCAATGTTGAGATGGACTTTATATGAATGTCATTCCATGCTTTAGTATAAAGTGAAAAATGACCTCTGGCTATAACAGATTTTAAAGGCTGGTAGTGGCAAGTGTCTGTTTGTAGCAGACCTAGTCGAGTGGCCATGTCCATAATGGGTTTTAGGCATCAAAGTAGAAAAAGCTACATTACTGACACCAAGGAAAACCTGAAAACACAATTAAATACTGCTGTGTAGAACATCATTTTGAAAAGTTAGAGCGTTTGAAGAAGAAAGAGCTGTACAGTGATTACTCCAGCTGGGATGTTTGTTATGAAATTTGTAGGCCCTATTGTAGAACCTATGGGTTTCAAGATTTCATTAGTAGTAAGACACCTGACAAGTAAGCATTACAACATAGTTTAAAGTATTATGGCATGAATATTAGTGTTCAAAACAGACTATGACAAATTTGATTTAACTTTAGAGTAAATTCAGCAGCATCCATGATCGCTCTTTCGCACACACATACTGTACACATATATACACATGTACATGCATACAGCCTGCTCGCTCGCTCCCTCAATGGAGTGAGTGAGGCAGCTTCTCCTTCATTTTTTGACTTAAAACCTGTTATTGCTCACAAAAACAAGACAAAAGCACTGATTCTAATTTTACTTGTTTAGTTACAAAGTAAGAATTTATTATTATAAACTGCTACGTCCTACGCCCCCATCCATCAGCTTGAGTTGGTTCAGTCCGACTCGGGTGAACATCTGTAATTGCTGCCTTGTAGTTTTAAGAGTGTTGCTGCATTTTCTAAACTATAAATTGGACAGAATGGAGTACACACATTAAGACTGTGGTACGTAGGAGCACAGGATGCTCTCAAGATCATACAACTGGTAATATGCATCTCTTTATGCTGATTTTATCAACAATAAACGTATCATGGAAGGTGATTATATTTAGGTTGGAATATATAAGACCCTCAAAGTGGTGCAGATTTTAGAGAAGGTGGACCTGTGATCGGAATGTCACTGGTTCGATTCCCCGGACCGACAACATCAAGATGTGTTGGAAAGATGAAGCATTCACACCTGTCTCAACCCTTATTTGCCCCACTCTGGGCCCTTGAGCAAGGCTCTTAACCCCCATGATCTGTTCCGCTGGGTACCCTGGATAGCAGCTCTCTGCTCCACAAAGGGCTGTGGTAGCTCGGTGGTCTGTGGTTGCGTCAGGAAGGGCTTTAAAACAATTGCCAAGTCTTCCTGTGGGTTAGTTCGCTGTGGTGACCCCTGAAGAAGGGAGCAGCCGAAAGAGGGAAAAAATAGTTTAATATTTAATCAAATCATGGCATTTTGGCATAGTTCATAAAATTAAAAAAAAATAACCATGATGGTATTTGGAGCCCACTTTCCTTAATGAGAGCATGTTACACCATCCACTATAATGAAACAAAAACTGAAAACAAGCACATCCTCAAAGAGTAATTCAGCACTCATAAAAACATTGTATGGAAACAAAAAAAAAAAAATCACCAAAGAATCTACAGGATCTTTCTAAAAAAAATTACAAAAAACATTTTAATCTAGATTGTTAGTTCTTGTTAACTTGCTGTCATCATTATCATTTTTCTTTCTTTTTTGGTTTTGTTTTGCAGGTGATACTGACTGCAGACACGCCTGTTTTTGGCAATCCAGGTGGGATCATCTTCACCTCCACAGATGCCGGGGCAACGTTCAGATTCATACAGCTGCCCTTCCACCTGGCTCAGCCGATCACGTACCACTTCCTCAACCCCGACTATCTGGTGGCCCTCAGCATTGACGTGAGTCTCTGAGCACTCAGCCACGCACGCTTACCTCACACATAAAGAACACTAGAGTCAAAGCAAGCACTGTTTCCTGTGTTGCAGGGCGGTCTTTGGCTCTCTCTGGACTTTGGTGCCAAGTGGACAAAAGTTCATGATGGAGTGCATTCTTTCTCATGGTGAGAATAAACAGGAACCAGAATCCAATCAGTGATAGGAGCACTAATTACACCAAGGAAACGTCAGGCTGTGTTGCTGTGCAGAGTACGATGTATTGCAGAAAAGAAACGGGCAGGAAAAACTATTTGCAACAACATTTGGAAACGAACGAGTATGTGATGTTTGGAACTTCCTGTTTCATTACAGGGGTGCAGGCATAAATTTGTTCTTCAGTTGCAGCCAAGTAGATGCAGGTAAGAAACAACAGCCACTTAAAAAAAAGGGACCAAATAAACAATGTTTATATGCAAATATATTTATGGTGTAAATGCTTATAAAGCATTCACACTACTGAAATCCATTTTTCTTCATTATGTTTTTTAGCATGTAACTCATTCTGCAGGTTTTGTGCTATTTCAACAACTCATGTATCAAAACGTTCAGCTCATTCAAGATAATCCTGCTATGACATTTGATATTTGTGCATTTTGTACTTTTAGAAATATTTAGCTTTTTCTGCCATGTTTTTCTCATTGAAAATGAATGGAGCTCTCCTTCAAACCTTTTACAGCTCATTCCAGCTTTTGTTCTGCTTCAGCTTTTTGTGCTAATTTCAGCTTCTTTTTAGCTTTTTCTGCTGATTTCAGATTATTTTTTGTTTGTTTGTTATCCAGCTTCTTTCTGCTAATTTAAGCTTTTTTTTTTTTTGCTTCTTTCAGCTTCCATTTCTTAAATTCAGTTTTTTCAGCTTCTTTTTAGATAATTTTCTGCTAATTTTAGCTTTTTTTCATGCTATTTTTATGGCTAATATCTGTCCTTTGTGATTCTTTCAAATCACTTTTTAAGCTCCTTTCAGCCTCTTTCTGTTAATCTCAGTTTACATTTTTTGTGTGCTAATTTAATTTTTTCTGCTCATTTCAGTTTATTTTATACTATTTTTCAAAATGTTTAACTTTACTTTGCCTCTCTCTGCATATATCAGTTTATATTTGCTATATTTCTGCTACTTTCAGCATTTTCTAAACATTTCTGCTGTTTTTTTACTGCTGTCCACTTTTATTTTCCTGCTTTCAGTAAATGTTATCTGTTTAAATTCAGCTTGCATTAACAATTTAGCTTTGAGACTTTTCAGCCTGGCTTCAGCTTCTTTAGCAGCTTTCAGCTAAATCATTCAGCAACTAAAGAATTTGCATTTCCTACAAAAATGCAGTGTGAATGCTTCTTGCTGAAGAACCTGCTGAAATGAGCTAAAAATAACATGCTGAAATGTACCTGAAAAGGACGAACAAGCCTAAGTTACCAGAGGAAAGCAGAGGTGGAAATTATCTTAAAAAAACTGAAATTTCCCAAACACAGCTGAATAGTAGCTAAAAAAATGTAGAAAGTAGCTTAAATTTCCACAAGGAAGTGAATTGAGCTTAATTGTGCCCACTAATCTTGACAAAAGTAGAAATTAGCACAATAAAGTTGAAATAATCTGGAAAAAAGTTTAAATTAGCCAAAAACAGCTGAATAGTAGCTAAAGAAAGCTCAAAATAAGCTTAAATATCCAAAAGGAAGTGAACTGAGCTTAAATGTGCCCACTAAGGCTGAAAGCGGCAGACCTTAGCACAATAAAGTTGAAATTATCTGAGAAAAGCTGCAATTTGCCACAAACAGCTGAATAGTAGCTAAAACAAGCAGAAAGAAGCTTAATTTAACTGAAGGAAGTGCGTAGAACATGATTTTGCTGAATTAGCTGTAAAGAATTGAATTGTTTGCAAAAAATGTAGAATTAGCTGAAAAAGCTGAAATTAGCATAAAAACAGCTAAATGGTAGCTGAAATACCAGAAATGGCTGAATTTAGCAGCAATAAGTTGAAAGGAGCATAGCAAGATGGAATTAACAGAAATAAGTTTCAAAAAGCTACATTAATTTTCAATGGGGAAGAAAATGGCAGAAAAGGTTAAATATCTCAAAGAGCTGAATGTTTTGATTTGTTGAAATATCACAAAAACTATGGGAGTAGTAAGATGCAAAAAAAAAAAAAAAACGTACAGAAACTTTAAGGAAACTGTAATAATAAATAAATGTGAAAACAATAGGCATTCGCATGCTACATTTTCATGGGAAATGCAATTTGTCTAGTTATTAATGCAATCCAGAAAAATGTTTATTAGTTTTACAGCAGACTAAAATGGATCATTTAGATTTTTAAAACCTCTGCTGTGATTGTCAGCTTCTGCAACTTATTTTCTTTATAAATAATTTATAAATAATGGATCCACTCTACTTCAGCATCGTTCACATTGATATGGTTAATACGATGCAGGAAATTAAAGTAAATGGTCCAAAACCAGATTTTTCTTTTCTTTTAGTTAAGCTGAAGCGATTATAGAGAGGCAGTCAGTTCTGCACGCAAAACAGAAAAGGAACAAGGGTTTTAATAGAATGTAAAAAGTCTGCAAAGCACACAAGAACTAAAACTACTGGTAAACGAAAAAATAAATTAAAAGCGACTGACCGAATGTTTTTGTTTTATGTGAACATTAAAGTTTTATCAAATGTATTCCCTTTTTTAACAATTTGTTATATGTGTTTGGAAAAAAACATTAAAAACAGACTAAAAAGTAATAAAGCAAAGAATAAAATAAAAACTAAAATCAAAGGCCTAGCAATATTTAAAGGAATGCATATTTCTCACTCTAACAATGTAAAGATTATGTAAAGATGTTGCACAAAGTATTGCATTAAAAATATGTGTTGGAGACAACGTTCAGCTACTACCACGCCAAATTTTAGCTCAGCATCAGTAAAACTGGCCGAGTTAGTTATTTTAGCGTTTTCTAATATTAATAGGCTTTGATGATTAACTTGAATTGTGTAGACTCCAAAGGTTCATCATTTGTAGATGTCCATCCAGTCATTCATTTCTGTAAATTTTATTAAATTCTGTCCTGTGCTTCATGAGATATTTTGCTAACAGACAGACACATAAACACATAATCCAGCCGTCTTTGCCTTGCAGCAGCGAGAAATTAAAAAAGTGTTAATTTAAGCATAAAGCATCAAATTATTTTAAACTTTTAGTTGCATCAGGTTACATACAAGGAATAAAACACTGCTGTCGTCGTGAGTTTAAACGTCGTACAGCTTCACGACTGAGCACAATTGTCGACTGTAGTTGAGGCAGAAGAGCGAGGAGATTTACTGCTGAAGAGGACAAAGGATCTGGGTAGAACCTTCACCATCATCCATGAGGACATCTACAGTTTTGGCTACATCGGAGCTTTTCTCTTCTTCTCTGTGATGGAGGACTCGGTAAGAACTGTCCAGAAACACGTTCCTGCACGTCTCGTTAGATTGTCCCCAAGAAGCAGCTCTGATTGAATCATGAATAGAGATTTAGTCTCTGATGACAAACTGTTTTCCTGCTAGAGGTCTCCTCGTGTCATGTACTTCTCATCAGACCAGGGAGATTCGTTCAGTCAAGCCCTCCTGCCTTCTGCTTCCACTGAGCAGGTGAGATCAGCCATCAGCTCCTTCTGTTCCGTTTTTGCAGTGAAAGCAAAGAACTGTCCCATAATTACAGTAAAGATTTATGTTTTCTTACATTACAGAATAAAAGGCTTCAGTGTTTGATGTGCAAATACTTTTATTTTTGTGAATGTTTATGAAGCATTCACTATTGCCATCCATTTTTCTTGCGTATGCGTTTTCAGCATCTTTCTTGTTCCACAGTTTTTAAGCTATTTCAACAAATCATTTATCAAAACGTTCAGCTCAGGTACTTTTGGTTTTGTTGCAACTTTAGCTTTTTGTAATGTTTAGCCTTTTCAGCCATTTTTTTTTTCTCCAAAGAAAATGGATTGAGCTCATTTGACATCCTTCAAATCTTTAGATCTGTTTACAACCTTTTGCTGCTCCTTTCACTTTTTGTTCTGGTTCAGCTTCTTTCAGCTGCTTTGTGCAAATTAAAAAAAAAAAACAGTTAATTTCTGCTGGGTTTTTTTTTTCCAGCTGTTTTGGGCTCCTTTCAGATCCTTCCTGCTAACTAGAACATTTTTGTGCTTCTAACTTATTTCTACTAATTTCAGCTTATTATGCTCCTTCAGCTTATTTCTGCGGTTCAGCTTTTTCTGCAATTTCAACTACTATTTAGCTGTTTTTAGGCTAATTTTAGCTTTTGGGGGGCTAATTCTATATTTGTTGCACTCATTTCAATGTTTTTCAGCCTAATTCAGCCAAAATGTGCTCTCTCCACTTCCTTATGGCAATTTAAGCTTTTTTCTGCCATTTTAGCTACTTTGCAGCTGGGTTGTTTTGTGTGCTAATTTCAGCTTTTTTCAGATAATTTTCACTTTTTTATGCTCATTTCTGCTTCTTTAAGCCCAATTGGGCAAACATGTTCTTTCTGCTTTCTTTTGCTAATTTAAGCTGCTTTTCAGCTACCTTTTTAGCTAATTTCAGCCGTTTTCAAATAAATTACTTTTTTTTTGGTAACTTCTGTTACTTTCAGCCTAATTAACTTTTTTATGGTAATTTCAGCTTGCTATGGTCCTTTCAGCTTTTTCTACAATTTCAGCTACTATTTAGCTGTTTTTTTGCTATTTTAGGTTGTTTTTTTTCAGCTAATTCCACCCTTTTTAAGCTCATTTCACCTCATTCTGGCAATTTAATCTTCTGCCTTTTCAGCTACTTTTCAGCCATTTTTGCTAATTTCATGATTTCTGTGCTCATTTCTGCTTATTTAAACCTAAATATGTGTTCTTTAAATAAATGTCAACGTTTCTCATTTTCTATTTATCAACACTTGCTCTGATGAAACTTCCGCACACACGCTGTGTTGACACCGCAAACACACCATTATTAAACCCTGATTGTGTAAGAGATCAAAATAAGACATAAAAATAAAATATTAAAAAAAAACACCCATACAATCTGCGGTTCTTAGTTTGCTTCTGTGCTCACTTTCTGTTGATGTTTGTGTTTGCAGTTTTACTCCATCCTGGACGGGGATGAGGACATGCTCTTCATGCATGTGGACAACCCAGGAGGTGTGGGACAAATACGACAGTTTATGGCTCTTTCAGCTGTTTTTTTTTTTTTTTTTTTTTAAAGGAACAGAAAAGCTTGACAGGAAAGGCCCAACTGGTTCCACAAGTTCCATGATGCTGACAAATCATCTGTGTATTCAGCTCCAGCTTCTTTCTCTGATCTTCTCATTCATTGTATCCTTCTGTCTCACTTTCATGTCTCACCCCCCACCCTCACCCCCATGGCTGCGCTGCTCTGGTCAAAACGGCGCCTTTGAACTGCAGGTGTACACAGAGGAGATCTGAGGGCAGATGGGCTTTATCATTCTTAGCTGTAGGGGAGGAGTGGATCTGGGCGTGACACGAGAACGTGCATGCTCCCTTAACTGGGCTCGACCTTCATGCTTTTAGCTGACGTGTGTGTGTGTGTGAGCTTCACGCATACAACGGTTGATGATGGACTTGATGCTGATGATGGTCATGTCAAAAAGTTTGTGTCAGCAGCTGCTAATCATTAATCTAGGTGCAAAAACACTGAATCCTACATTCCCCATAATGCATCTGTAAAAGTATTGTTTTCCTGATTTTCTTTTTCACACCTTATTTACAATCAAATTACTTCTGAGTAATTTTTGCTATTTTAGCCATTCATAAACTTCAATGTTCCACTAATTCAAGAGGTGGATGCTATGGCTTTTGTTTTTTTGTAACTTTTATATATTTTTAAACATTTAACTTTATTATTTTTCCCCTATAGAAAACAGACATCGCTTCAATTCCCTGAAAATGATAACATTTTGAAATCTATTTCAGCATACTCGCTCTATTTTTGTCTCCTTAGGATATTTTTAGCTAGCTTTTGCTACTCTTAGCTACCATTCTGCTAATTTTAGCCATCATTCAGCTACTTTAAGCTAGCACTTTACAACTTTTAGATAGACCTTTGCTGCTGCTACTTTTGGTTTTCAGCAAACCTTTTGCAACATTTAGCTCACTTTTTTGCTACTTTAAGCATTTAGCTAGGATTAAGCTACACACTTTTTGCTAGTTTGATATTCTAGCTAACCTGTTTTACTTTTTAGCTTTTAGCCTTTTGCTACTTTTAAGTTTTAGCCATCATTATGTTACATTTAGCTTTTAGCTACCTTTTGCTACTATTAGTCAGCCTTTTGCTTGTCATTACGTTGAGCTGGCCTTTTGCTTCTTTCAGCTATTTTTTTAAACACCTATTAGCATTTAACTAGTGTTCTGCTCCTTTAGCTTTTAGCTTGTGTTTTGTTTCTTTTAACTTTAACAACTCCGATTAGCTCCTTGTCTTCACTGCATTTTCACAGAAACTGGACTTTTTTTTATATTAGTTTCTAAACTGCGCTCCTCCAGTTTTAAACTCATAACTTAAGACTGAGTATCTCATTTTATGTTCTTTAAGACTCTTCTAAGATGACACAACCTACTAAACTATCTGTTTTGCCAGACACCTACTTTGGGACCATGTACACTTCAGACGACCGAGGCATCTTGTTCTCCAAGTCACTGGAGCGCCACCTGTTTGATGGACAGAGGAAGAGTGACTTCACCAACATCACATCACTGAGAGGTGTCTATCTCACCAACAAACTGGACGTTGGTGAGTTTTTCCTTTTCTATAGACAGAGAAGTTGGTGAACATTTTTGTCTATTCAACCAACTTGTTCCAGAAGTCTTGTGGTTTGTTCACATGCAACTTTGCAAACCTGAGCCCCTCTGGTATATTAAATAGTGGTGCGTTTAGGTTAAATACTGGCATATTAAATACAAAATGCCTGAGAGAGAGCGAGAGAGAGAGATTCTAAACAATGTTTAGAATATTAGTGGCCACGCCCACTTCTCCACTGCAGAGCAGAGATCCTGACATGCTGCAGGAGGAAGCTTCTCCTGCAGCTGTGAGCTGCACACACGTGCAGCAGGTGCTAAATAATTTAAAATAATTTATTTGAAATAAAAATTCCATGCTGATCGTGCGGCTCATCCATCCATCAATTGCGTGTCATGTCCATGCTTACTTTGAAAAACCGCGATAGATTGAGTCCGAGAAAGTCAAACCGCCAAGTAGCAAGGGACTACTGTATTTAAAAAAAAGGTGGTTTTCTTTTGAACTAAGGACATTGGGGGCCTGATGGAGATTGTCCAAGGGCCACTTTTGGCCCTCGGGCCTTACATTGCCCATGTCTGCCTTAAACGCTGATGCGATTTTAGGACAGCTCGTTACATTTTTGACCTCACATTAAGGAGTATTTCCCTGTCATGACAGTTATTGTTAGAACAGGATTCCTCTCTTTGTTTTTCACTTTTAATTTCTCCGTTTTGTTACAGATGGCCATGTACGATCTGTCATTTCCTTTAATAGAGGAGGAACATGGAGGCAACTCAACAAACCTGACAATGTAAACTGTGGAGACCATGTCAAGAAGGTGTGTTCGGTCAAAAAAAAAAAAAAATCTAATTAAGTCCTCAAAAATTCGGTCACATTCCCTAAACATCTGTTTATTTTTATTCCAAGTGCAACCTTCATATTCACGGAGAACACAGTCGTAATAACAGGATAGTACCTATGCTGGCTCTGTCTGAACCAACTGCCATTGGTCTTGTTATCGCTCACGGTAAGTTAATTAAAATTTACCCACGTTTTTCCTCCAAACAAGTCAGTTTGTAATTACTAGTCATTTTCTTAACTCCTGTTTTTACCAGGCACTGTAGGAGATTCTTTGTCCTCATCTCAACACCCAGATGTGTTCGTTTCCTCTGATGGGGGGTATAACTGGAGGGGGACATTAAGGGGCCCTCACCACTACAGCCTATTGGACTCTGGGGGTCTCCTTGTGGCTGTGGAGGCCCACCATAAAGGACAAGTCAAGACCATCAAGTACTTAAAAATATTCTTTACTTCAAGCCCAATTAAAGAATATAAATACAAGCTCAATAATAATTTGGGTTCGAATTGTTTCGATGTTTTCAGGTTCTCCACTGATGAAGGCCAGTGCTGGAAGTTGTATAACTTCACCGAGCAGTCGTTCTTCTTCGCCGGCCTGGCGTCTGAGCCTGGCACCAAGGCCATGAGCGTCAGCGTGTGGGGCTTCCGTCCAGAGGAAGACGGACAGCCCATGTGGGTGGCCGTCACCATCGACTTCCAGAGCCTCATTACCAGACAGTGTAAACGACAGCACGTTGGCTGCACCGGTTCCAGTTGCAAGCAGGACGTTTGTTCATAAAAGGCCGTTTACTTTTCCAGGTAATGCTCGAGACTATGAAGAGTGGCTAGCTCATTCCACAGGAGGAGATTCGGAGAGAAACGGCTGCGTCCTTGGATTGAAGGAGACTTACAGGAGGCTAAAGAAGCAGTCCTTCTGCAGAAATGGCAGGAACTTTGCAGTGAGCAAGAAGCAGAGCCCCTGCTCATGCACCAGGGAGGACTACATATGGTACACCAGAATGTTTCTAATATGTCATGGTAGGGATGCACGATATTGGATTTTTGGCTAATATCCGATGTGCCAATATGTTAAAACTTATTTGGCTGATAACCAATATCAATATCGATATTTTTCCCTAGACCTACTTACAGAGACTACACAACTTTTTCTGCTCTGGGCAGCCTTTTTAAGTTCAAACTTTTTGTCTATCCATTGTGCCGTAAGACTAATCATGCTAACACGGCTAACACCTAATGTCCAAACGTCTGTGGTAAAACTCACCCAAGTGCTATCGGTTAGTTAGTTCTCAATGACGTCGGAAATGACGGCTTGCAACTCAGATAAGGCTACGTCAGAAAAGTATCTCGGACTAGGGACGATGTAGCGAGGCTCAACATAGTCCAAAAATCTTCGGAATACGATATCCTCAACGAATGAAAACGGTTGGTTATCCAGAGCAATACACTACATCGGTTTCTGAGTGATGCCTTTTGCCCTCGGGTGGTCGCGGCTGTATTTTTTTGCTTTGTCCAAAGCTTGTAGAATGGACTGCTGGTGAGGTTTTGTTTCTTCGTGGTTGAACGCTCTCTTGCTTTCGTTTCTGGCCACAATGAATTCATCATAGTGGTCAGAATGGTGGTTCTTGAGACGGTTATTTAGGTTTGAAGTGTTGTAGGACTTCGTTTTCGCTCTACCTCGCATCACTGACGCTGGGCAGTCATTGCAAAAAGCAGTTCTGCTATCAGTTTCTGACACTTTAAAAAACTTCCACACCGCTGACGTTTTCACTTCTTCCTCTCCCGCCGTGATCAGAGTAGGTAGACATCGCCTTTTATGTCGGTGAGTTATTTTGATGGAATGGCCAGTGTCCGATATTTAACTTTATCGCTAATATCGGCCGATACCGATACCATGCCGATAATATCGTGCATCCCTATGTCATGGACATTATCTCATCATTAAGCTCTAAAATGGAAAATGTAGCCTCACTATAAAGGCAGACTTAAACTATATAACCTGCCCTTCTCGTTGGAAATAGTGACTATGGTTACTATCGTCATGTGAACACCTCGGAGTGCGTGAGACAACCGGTCGCTGCAAATAAAACCCTTGACGCCTGTCTGAATGGAGAGGAGGATGAGCTTCTGACTGCAGGGTGACCATGTCAACTTTCTAACATTAAAGTCCTGTTTTTTTGCGTAATGCTCGCTCACACCCGGCTCCATTCTCAATGTGTTTGCAGGTACCGAAAGGTTCCAAGTGACAGGTGTGAGGGGGGGTTCACACCTCATCTCCAAGTCCCGACAGTTATTCAACCGTGTGGGGTTAAACCCAGCTCTGAACCTCCTGGCAAGACAACATCTTCAGTCACACACTTTGACACACTGGTGAGTGGATTTACCACTCTGCTGTGGTTCTTTTTTTGATATCAAGTGTCAATTTTAACACCCAGGGGTCTGCAACCTTTATGATCAAAAGAGCCATCTTAACCTTCGCGCACTAAATAAAATGTCTATGGAGCCACAAAACCTGCTCAAACTGTGATTATCAACTGGTGGCCCATGGGCCACTTCAAGCCTTTGGAGGGGGCTTTCCCGGCCAGTAGGTGTGATATTATGAAACAAAAATACAAAATTATTATAAACATTTATTTATACTTTTATATTTTATGGCAAAAGAAAAGACTGGGTTTATGTATAGAAGAATTTTTTTTTTTTTTTTACCAATTTTATAAAAATTCAAACGTTTAAGTATGCAGGCATATGCGAGTGTTCTTTTTAATTGTGGAAACAATTCATAAAGTATCCTATTATGAAGTAATAAATACATAAAGTTAAAAATTAGACCAGTTTGTTGGATACATAATATACATTTTAAATGAAAATAAACAATTCCATTTACTTTGACTTGGTTTTATTCTTTAGTTTTTATTATCAAGCTGACTCAACATCTTTCTTCTCAGCAACTTGCCTTAAAATGTAATCCCCCCCAAAAATATTTTGTGGATTTGAGAAAAAGATCGCACCGTAAGACTGGAAGTGAGCTAACAGAAGTGGCTAACAAACTACTAGCAAGATGTAAACAAGTTTTACTCCTTGTGTTAGTACTTTCATTCACATGTTGGCAAAAGAAATGAGTGAAAAACTGCTTAAACTAATTTCTTGTTGTTGGTACAACAACCAATAAACTTCTGTTTTGTGTTAGTTTTGGTCAAAACTTGGGGCCGTTGCAGAGGGACCGAAGAGCCACATGTGGCTCCAGAGCCGCAGGTTGCAGACCCCAGCACTAGTTCAACAAACATTCTTGCTAATAACACTTTTTGTCAACTGGTGGCTCTTTTGTCCAACTTTTTGGAGCAGAAGTCCCACTAGGCAACCATTGGGCTCCACTATTAGCTGAAAAACTAGTTGGCTTTTTAACACACTAACTGACCACTGGATTAAACTAGTTGATAATGGTGTTGCACAAGTTAACTTGTAAGAGCTAAAAGTCTGTACATTTTAAGCAGTCAGTACAAATTACTACTAGTTGACTAATATTTGTCAATTTGTGCACTAGTCGATTAATGCAACTAAAAAATTTCAGTAGTTCACTGATGTTTAATAGTCAACAGGTTTTTGACCCTTACCCGTTAACTAGTGTGCCAAAAAATGCTCACTTGCATCTAAAATGTTGACTAAGTAAAAACGAAGATCAAATTAAGTTGCATTAGTTGACTTTTTGACATCCTTTGGCACACTAGTTAACTAGTAAGGACAAAAACATGTCAACGTAGTCGATTAGTGAACATTTTAGAGTTTATTAGTCGACTATTTGAATATTTAAGTTACACTATTCACTAGTGCTCATATCGATTAGTAAGATTATTTGTGTCGTGTGAACATGTAAGGTTTCCGGACGCCTGCTAATGAACTTGGATGACACAGTCAACTCGTTTACAACTAGTGGGCTAATTAGTTGGGGCTTTTATGGACTAGTGCAACAAAAGTGTTGACTAGTAGACCTTCTGCTACAACTAGTTGGGCAAAAGTGTCACTTATTGGCAAAAAAGTGTAACTAGTTAGTTTGTTGAGCTAGTGTGAATAAATGTGTAACTTGTGTAGTGTAGTTGCAACCTAGTGTCAAAAATCTTGTTTGATTTCAGTGATATTAAATAAATACACAAAGGGCTTGCCATATAAACTATGTAAGAATTTTTGACACTTTAGTTAACTTGCATGACACAGTAGTTTACTTTTGTTCAGTGGTCCACTAGTGCATCAAAAAAACAACTAGTTGGGACTTTTAGACAACTAGTGTGGCAACATTTCTGACTAGTGCTCTAACTAGTTTAGCAAAAGTGCCACCAGTTGACAAAAGTTTTACTGGTAGGAGTCTTTGTTAAACTAGTGTGACCCAGTTTGCAACTCATGCAGTGTAGTCAAGAACCAGTTAGGGGAAAATGATGTTTGTTTTCAAGGACATTAAAAAAATACAGAACTGGTTTGCCATATTGTGGAAAATATGCTCATTTTCAAGGATATTAAATAAATACAAAACTGGCTTGCCATACATATAGAAAATTTCTGCTTGTTTCTGTTGTTTTCAAGCATATTAAATAAATACAGAACTGTCTTGCCATATAGGGAAATTGTGCTGTTATCAAGGATATTAAATAAATACAGAACTGTCTTGCCATTTTAGGAAAATGGATGCTTGTTTTCATTGTTTTTAAGCAGATTAAATTAATACAGAACTGGCTTGCTATTTATCTGCTTGATCATCCTTCCAAGTATTTCCCAGACTAAATCAGATTCTGTTTTTCAGACAGAAAGGCTGGTCCTGATCCTCGTGTGTGCAGGTGCAGCACTTATCATCCTGCTAGTCATCGTCTCTGCAGTTCTTGCAGTCAGGAGAGTGGCTGACAGAACCAGGTGAGGTAAAGACTAGTGTAGAACGCAAACCTTATATCACTGCGAGCTGATCTCTGTGCACATTTCAGGACCCCTGCATATAGTTTCTCCAACCTGCGCCTTCAGGAAGACACTAACGGCATCACAGCTGAGTTTGAAAGTATCGCCAGCAGTAACGGTACAGCCTGCCATCAGGATTCAGATGAAGTAAGAGTGATGTATAATGGTTGCTTGGGGACTTCTTTTGTTCATTTTCTATTTCAAAACTTGTTGATTTCCATATGTATGCTAATGCTTGTGTGTGCTCTTTTTTCCAGGATCTTCTTCATTACCATTCGACAAATTTTCAAGGAATTGCTAACACTACAGGCCAAGGGTGTTAAAAAAAAAGATTGTTGTGGCTATGAATGAAAAAAAAAAAAAAAGTAACTTATTAACTCTTGTTTTGCTTTACTTTTAAATTGTAGATTTTTTTTATTTGCCATTTTTATTGTAAATGTAAAATCAAACCTGAATCAATTCGGAAAACGTGCTCGTCCTAAACATAAAGTTCTTTATGGTTTGGTATTGTATCACATGTCTGTTGGACTACTGTACCGGAAAGAAAATATCCTAATAGTTTGTGTTTATAGTCTGTCCACACAGATAAGTTCATATGCTCAATAAAACGCACTGAAAATGTCCTAATACAAACAAGTTATGGTTATCTTTATTTTATATTTGACCTGTAATCACACTACTTAATTCTGTCCACCAGGGGGCAGCAACCGCTCTGCAACACATCTAATCTCCCCCCCCCCCCCCCCCCCCCCCCCAAAAAAAAAAGCAAAGAATAATATAGGAAGATTGTTGAAACAAAGATTTTGCTTAATGTTTCACACATTGCAGCTTATAGGTGAATAATTATGATAGCAAAAATCATCTAAGGAAATATGGGGTGCTGTTTGTAAAGTTACACAGTCAAAAATTAACAGCAATAGTTTGGTTTATTTAGCCTTTAATAAGAAAAAAATACTTTTTTTTTTTCAAAGTCATATTTTCACCATGTTATTCATACATTTATAAATGTCATAGTTCCTAAATAAATATTTAATTTACAAGCTAAATACTTTGTATTTAGATTACTAACTAAATATTTAGCTTGTAAATTAAATATTTAGTTTGGAACTATGACATTTATAAATGTATGAATAACATGGTGAAAACAAGACTTAATTTTTTTTTTCTTATTAAAGGCTAAATAAACCAAAATATTGCTGTTTATTTTTGACTGTGTAACTTTACAAACGGCACCCCATAAGGAAAGCTCTTTCTTTCATGTGATAAAGGATCATTAGTTTGATCAACTTCTATTGTTATAAAATGAAATTCCAGAAAGAATTTTCCTAATAATGATCCTTTCTCCAACAGTGTTCAAATAGATACTTAACTTAGAATGCTGTGAACAAAAATATTACTACAAATAACTCAAAGAAATACTACTTTCAATGTCTTTAGTGATCTCTTAATATGAATTTTGAAATACAATTATGTAGAATTATTAAAATGTTAATCACAACAAATCAAGAACACCCCACACTATTTGAAAAACTATATTAAAAGGGTTCACATCGCCACTTTAAATAATATTTTAAGGTGAAATAAAAAGCAACAGTGCGTTTGTTGGCTAAAATAAAATGAGTGTTTTGCAAAATTTGCATGAGCAGATTTAGTATATCTTAAGAACGTTGCATTTCCTTGTGATTATAGTATCTTATTGGATTAGCAGCCATTGTTCATTCAGCATCTTTACCAGTTTCCTTAAAATTATACACTTTATTCATAAAAAATAGTACTTAGATTAATAGCATAGTAATTTTATCAAGGAAGCGTCTGAAGTCCTTGTTCAGATACATACACCCCAGGGATGAGGAGAAGTCACATGAAAAGTCCCGTGTTTTTGGCCCTCCTGGAGTAAACGTCTAGTCAAGATGCTGGATCCAAACTTCTTTACCACCTTGTGATCTACAAACATACATCACGAAGACCCCAGAAAGTCCTGACTCATCAGATCAGTGGTAAGTATCTACATAGATTCTTATACACTTTGCAGTTTTCATGCTCCAGAGGGTGCACACACACCTACAGAGCACCTGTGAGGATGATGCGAGTACTTCATCGTCTCAAGTACCTTCAACAGCACCCAGCCTGGGCTGCTTAGGGAGAAGATGAGTGCCATGGAGCTGGATTGAGGCCTAGTCTCCTGGGTCTTGGATCACTTGACACACAGACTACAGCACATCTGTGTGCAGAACTGTATAGGACAATTTTCAATGTCACAGGGACCCTACAGGGTCCTACAGTTCTGTGGGACCTGGTAGGGCTCCCAGTCCTGTCCCCATATTCCTGCTCACCCTCCACACATCAGACCTCCACACATAAAACTGTTTCCTTCAGACATTCTCTGATGAGTCAGTGATTGTTGGTTGTGAGGAGGGAATATGTGCACAGAAACACCATCAGTGACTTCATGGACTAGTGCAGCCACAAACATCTGCAACGTATCACCACCAAGGCCAAGGAGATAGTTGTGGGAGATTGTTGTGGACTTGAGAAGGAGGAGGTCCAAACCAGAACCTGTGACTAGTCAGGGAGACACGGAGATCGTCTCAAGCCACATGTACCTGGGTGCAGGGACTGGACTACTCACATAGTCACACTATACTGTTGTGCATTTGCACAGCGTGCTGTTATTGTTTTGCACTTTATGTTTTAAGTTGCACTGTAATCCTGGAGAAACCCTGTTTTATTTCAGCATGTACTTCAGTATGACAATAAAACCTCTCTGACTCTGATAAAGGTGACGTACAAAGTCATCTTCTTGTGGTCGAGATTCTTTAACATCTGCAGCAGAGCTCTGTGCAATTTGTGGTGATCAGTGGCCTGTTCTTTGGGATGAAGTCCACAAAGCAGACACGATCAGGATAAATAAACTAATGAGGAAGACAAACTTCACATGCAGAGCTCCACTGGACACAGTTCAGCAGGTGACAGAATTGAGAATACGCTCAAAACTGGACTCTGTTGTCAATAACAACCCACTTCATAAGACGAAACTGAATTAACAAGTGGTTCTACATAAGCACTCGTTTTTCTGGAAGTAGAAATTTCAAGTATTACAATGGTGTGTAAATAAACACCTTAGCGCAGGTATGTTTTCATTTATAACGTATATGAATGGGGAAGAAAAACAAAAAGTAAAAAGGTCACATTTTGAATTGTTTAAAATATAATAAAATACCACTGAAGGACGATAAATAGAATAAATGCACTGGTACTGCAGAAAAAAAAATCCACTTCATGGTTATTTTAAATTTTACACTTGTTCAAGTAGATGGAAATGCAGACTGCCCCCGAACACCATTCATATACAGTTGACATACAGATGAGTCTGTATTTAATATTTCAATAAATCATCATGTTCAACAACGCTTGCACTATAAAATGCTCTAGTGCAATTAAGTTAATGTTCATAATAATATCTTATATCCGCAACAGTGTGCAGATTTTAACTTTGTCCACTAGAGGAGATTAAGAGCGCTACACCACGTCCAAGCCTGCCTTTAAATCAGTGAAGAAGAAAGCAGGAAGTATATGAACAAAGATAATGTTTGACAGATGTCTCACGTCGCCATAATTCAGTGCATGATTATGATAGCAAACATTTTCATTTCTCAACAGTTTTTTTTCCATCTGTAAACTAACTGAACAATTATTTTTAGTTTGTTTGATAATAATTTACAAAATCAACTTTCTTGAAGAGAAATTTATAGTCACTGGTTTCAGTATGTCCTTGCCAAGTGTAATATAACTAATATACACTGAAAGTTGCTGCTTAACTGAATTAACATGGACTTTTAACAAGATGGACTCTAACATACAAACACACACAAAATAAGACTCTGGCTCACACATCCATAATGGACTCTAACACATACACAACCTAAATACACACAGCTACTTTGTTGTACTGTTTGTGACTTTTTTCTTTTACTTGCACGTTTTTGCACTTTACGCTGCTAAACGCAAATCAGAATGTTGTGTTCTATTGTAGGATTGTTATTGCACAACACAGAACATATTTCCACCTCATACCACCTGTACATGTACTAATCAACACTGTCTTGTGTCTTAATTACCTGTTTAGATTGTAATGTTTAGATTAGGTTAGATGTTTGTATTTATTGTGTATCTGCACTGTATCGTTTTTGCACTTTATGTTCTGTGTTGCACCGTGATCCTGGAGAAACGCTGTTTCGTTTCAATATGTACTTGTGCGTAGCTGAAATGACAATTAAACCTCTCTGACTCTGACTTTCTATTTCGTCTTTGCCGTCAGAGTGGGGCGTCTGAACATTCTCATATCTCTGCAGCTGAGCTGACGTAACAGGAAGAAGCCGGAGAACTCGGCTCAGGTTGACCAAGCCAAGTTGGGAGTTTGTCGCCTCTTCTTGAACAGGTAAGAGTTTAATAAAACTAATTAAAACAAGGTACCATTACTACTGTTACGCTTCAGTTATTTTAGCATTAACTATTAAATTATCCCCTCCCAAAATAAATAAAATACCGACGTTATGTAGTTGACAAATGGAGAAGAGGGAAGATAACATTATCAGTTGAAGCTAGTTAGTTAGCAGTTGTACATTTGAATAGTCAGTGAACTAACTTGACAAGTATTTTTTCTTACCCTGTCGTTCTTTAATTGTCTCAATTTTACCAATTAATGTCAAATAGCTTATTTTAGGAGAGGGGGAAACAAATTTATGTCGCACCGACCGTTAACGCCTTCATGACGTCGAATTTATAAATGCTAAAGTTTTTACAATGTTTTTTTTTCCTCAAGGTTGTCGCCTACGAAGGGGTCAAAGATTTGTCAAGATGCTCAGAGCAGGAGGTACGTGACATTCAGCATATGTTAATAACTCGTGGCTACAACTAACAACACTTAATTATTGGTTATTTCTGTGCTGATTGCAGGCTTTATAAAGTTAGCAGCGCTAATCCTAGCGTTCCTCCTCGCTGTCTTCCTGGCGTTTCAACTCTTGGAGATCAACATGGATTTTAACTTTGGCAGATTCGTGTGTGAGTTTCCTCCCACACCATTCTTTGGGAAGCAGCACAAGAAGGAGGAAGTGGGGACACAATTGCTGTAAACTAAATACTACACACCTGGAGTAAAAATAATAAAAAAAACAAGTTGGATTTATTTATTTAGCACTTGGAAGGTGCTTTGTTAGGACTCACAACACACCTGCTGCGGGTTTTGGTTTGTGTTGCAATTGAGGCACACCTTCAGCTGACTTATTGTGTACCCCTACAGAAAAGATTTGTCTAAGAAAATGGGTTATACGTTTCCCTGCTCAGACACACCTGACAGAGAAACGTAAAACATGCAGGACCACAGGGTTGGGGGGGAAGGTCCCTCACTGCAGGTGGAAACTAGCTGGCATTTACTCGCTGGATCAAATTCTGTTCTGGTTGCACGAATAACAGCTCAAGATTAGTCTCAAGTGAAGACAAAATGTAAATCTGAACTTTTTTTTTTCTGCTTTTCAGCTAAATCTTTGCCTGTGAACGTAGGGCGTAAGTATCCTTTTGCATGCTTTTAAGTTTACCAAACAACATTGCGAGTTAAATATTTGTTAGTCACACTATAATTGTAAACAGGCTGTGCTGTTTGATGGTTCGATGTGTAAATAGTTTTTTTGTGTGTGTGTGTTCACAGCAACAAAGCCTGCTGCACATAAATGTGGGCTGTCCAAGGCTTGTGCCCCTGGACATTTTGCCTTCAAGATGACGAGCGGTGCAGCCAGCGTGGTCGGGCCCAGAATCTGTCTGGAGGACAAACTGTAAGAATGCAAACATCCAGATTAACTGGGGCTAGATTATCTGACTGATTAGCATTAAGTGGCTTCTTTATCGCATGAGTGCAACACATTTTAAATAACGTGAATGAGGGAGCTCTTGCTCTTGGGGAGTGGTGGCGCAGAGGTTAGAGAGGTGGGCTTGTGATCCGAAGATCGCCGGTTCACGCCCCGGCCCCGACAACATCAAAAATTGTGGGTGGGGTAGATGAAACACCCACACTTGCCCCCACCCTCATTCGCCCCACTCTGGGCCCATGAGCAAGGTCCTTAACCCCACCATGTGCTCCCTAAAAAACAGGTCTCTCTTGAAAATGAGTTCTCGTGGCTCAATGAGACTAACCTGGATAAATAACGGCTAAATGAAAAAAAAAATATTAATGCTCAGTTCAGATTGTTCCAGCTGCAGGAGTAAAGCTCCACCTTCACAAACATTGCTGTCAACAGTTCAGGAAGTTAATGTTTGTAAATGTAAATATTACATTTACTTGGTACAATATGAGTTTCACTTCCTTGGCACGCCTTTAAGCCATAATAGGTGTGAAATTATGCAAATGTTCAATGTTTTAGTTTAAATATTTCATAACTATGATTAAAAAAAATAACCACTAAATATGTATCACTATCTACTAAAACTCTACCACTTAATTTGTAATGAGTTAAACAGCAGTCAGGTTTTTTTGTTGCAATTTTGAATAATTTTGTTTACATTCAAACACAGAAGTACAAAATGTCCTGATGCGTGCTCAAAAATCCTGGTAAATGGGTTGAGTCAGCTCCTCTGGATGAGTTTTTCTATGTTGAAGCATTTAGGGTTTTTTTAATCTAAAGACGTCTCAAGTCTGGGGAGCTGCAACAAACTCAGTCTTTGGATAAAAGACGAAACATTTCAACCCGCCCAGAGGACCAGAGTCAACCTTGTTAGATTGAAAAGCACACACGGTCTCGATGATGATGATGATGATGATGTAGAAGAATAAAACTTCAAATCTAATTTTGTGTTTTTTTCACAGTTAAAACTTCTTAAAGCAAGCATGCATTTGAATCTAGATGTTTACATACAGTATATAACAAACCGTTTTTTCCCCCTGACATTAAATCAGACTACTACTACTGTTTTAGGTCAGTTATAATTCTCAGTATTCTTTAATGTCTGAATAATGAGACACTTTGCATAATTGTTTAAAAGAATAGTAACTAGTGTATGTAAACCTGTGCCTGATGAACTTTTTGCTCTTGGCTGCAGATTAATGAGTGGAGTGAAGAACAATGTTGGAAGAGGAATCAACATCGCTCTGATTAATGGTAAATGCAGCTGAAGTCTCACCTTTAAAGACAAACTAAGCATACGTTCAAAACAAAAATCTGCTTTTCTGTGATTTAATCAATTGCTTTCCTCATTTTGAACTCTGTGCAGACACTATTTTCTTTAATTAATTCAAGTCTCTCTCCAGGAAAAACAGGGGAAGTTATCAAGACGGCTTATTATGACATGTGGGCAGGAGGTACGTCTTATTTCTTTTATTTTCAGCTATTTAAACACACTTTGTATTAACTGCGTTTAACATTGTGCAGACGTGGCACCCTTAATTAAGTTCCTGAATGAAATTGAAGAGGGGACGATTGTAATGATGGCATCATTTGATGATCCTGCAACAAAGTAAGAATCTCTGCTCCGTTATGCAGTTTATTCCATATTCAGTTTAAATGAACATTTCCACTTTTCACGTTATACCTAGAAGTTATTTCATGTTCTTTGGTTTTTAGGTTAAATGAGGAAGCCAAGAAACTGATTGCTGATCTGGGCAGCACGGCCGTAAATAGTTTGGGCTTCCGGGACAACTGGGTTTTTGTAGGAGGGAAAGGCATCAAGACCAAGAGTCCATTTGAGCAGGTAACATGATCCCAACACCACAAGGAATGTGTTCTCATCTGCTCCTTTTACCTGCTGCCAAAGACAACAGGGCTATAATGTTTTTGCCTGTGTGCGCACACGTTTTTAATCCTTTAGCATAACAAACAACTTGACAGATTTGAATAAAACTCTTAAAGTAATCGTAGTATCCCAAAAAAAAAAAGCAACTGGACTTTTATTCTGAAGTTGAAGACGTTTCGCTTCCCCTCTGGGTGGTTTTAACAAATCCATTTCGCCAGCTGACAACGGAAGATGCACAGTCAATACTTCTGATTACCAGAACAACATCCACAGTACTGAGTGACACCGCTACAAATAAGACCTTGAAGAGGCACGCAACCAAAAGATCAGAGTATCTCCACCAACGTGAAAAAGACGAGGTTATCAGGTTCATTTTACCACAGATTATATTTAAGAGAAGCCATTCCATGCTTGTATGGACTTCCCTTAATCCACAAACTAGGAACACCACTCAGACCCAGCAGCATGAACTCTGACAGAATATTGCAAAACGTCTTGCTTGTGTTGTAGCTCCTCTTGTGGGAAACATCACATCACATGGAGAACTCCATGGACTTTGCAAAACAAAGTTAAAAAGTTAGTTTGAAGATGGTTCCAGGAGAAACTTGTCTTATCTTTTGATGTCACTTCACTTTTCATCTGTATAGCCACGTCAGAGGCACATCTTCAACAAGATTATGACCTTAGTACCAGGACCAGTTTCACCCTGGACCAGCTCTGTACCCTGCTGGACCGTTTGTCTTTCCACGACTGCTTTTACAGACAGAAGCACGTGGCTCTGCCGTGGGACCTCCAGTGTTGTTGACTGTGGACAATCTCTACATGGAGGAAATGGAACAGAGAGCCCTGGACTCTTTGAAGGGATCAACACGAGCCACTGGTTCAGATAAAGGAACAGAAACGGAAGCGCTCCAAACCTGTGGAGGTCCTAACTGGACTGGATTTTTAAAAAAAACACCACGCTGCAGAATAGAGGCGGAACAAACGCAAAAACATTCTCATCCCATACGTTGCTGGAGTATCTGGAAAACTCAGAAGAATTTTCTCCAATCAACATCCCGGTACATTTGAACCCAACAGGACCCTCAGACAGAGGCTGGTCCATCCAACAGAACCACACAGCAGTGTGGAGTCTGCAGGTCAGTGAGGAACGTTCAGACCTCTGTATTGGAGAAACTAAACATCTCCACAGACGCATGGCTCAACTCTGGAGAGCAAGGACAAGACTCTGCGGTCCATCTACATCTAAAGGATAAGGGACACTGCTGAGGACCAGTGTTCATATTTTAGACAGAGAAGACAGATGGTTTGGGAGGGGGTGAAGGAAGCCATTTATGTCAAACAAGAAAAAACTACTTTAAACAAAGGAGGAGGAGGACTTTTAAAAAACTTACAATGCAGCTTTAGGCCTAATTCCTAGTCGGCTCCTCTCTAATCACACGTGACCAAAACATCTCTGAGCGAGGCAGACAAAGAAACTTAACGAGCCTCCATTGTGCGGGGCGAGTAGTTCCAGTCTAATCTGCAGCTGGATCTAAGAACAAACCAGACCTCATGCAGATGTATGAAGCTTGGAAGTCCACACACGTGTTTGAACTGATAAATCCTAAATGAGAAGCAAAACGTCTTCAGCTTCAGAATAAAAGTCCTGTTTTTGTTTAACTTTTTATTTGATTGATCACGACCTGGACGACTGATAATCTTCACCAGCTTATAATCAAGGCATGTAGTTCTACAACTGATTAGCTTTGGAGGTTGAGGTGAACCTAAGTCCAACTGATCTTAGAAAACACAAAAATGGCTAAAACTCTTGAGTTTTACTAAAATTATGTTTAAAAAAAAAAGTTGGTGTAGCAGCTGAGAGTGATTCTGAATTTATATTCCAAGAACAGATCGTTTGAGATTGCTCCATTTCATGCAGGATTACAAATAGTCTGACCAAAATGGCTATAATCCATCCCTTGTGATCTTAGTCTAACATTTAGGGCAGCAGACCGTATGCATTCCTTTAAAGAACACTAAACTGTTTGTTCCGTTTTTTTTTTTTTTAGGGGGGAGAACAGTGACATCATTGCTGTAAATGTCTATTTTTAGCAACAAAACCTGTCCCACGAGTTTACATTAATGTGTACATTCAGCACAGCAGGGTAAAACAAAACGAGTGTTCAGAAGCAGCAGCAGCGCGTCTTTCAGGATGTACTGAAACTTAACCCAAGAGTTGTAGAAAAGGCCGAAAGGTTTACCTAACTGGTTTGGTGTGCTGCGCTTCAAACTGGTTTGAAACTAATTTACATTACCATGCGCACGTCTTTATGTTATGGATGAAATCATTGTATGAAACGAGGATCCTTAAGTGCAGTTTAGCACCAGTTGTCATTTCCCGAGAACCTGAACTCATCAGATCTCTGCAGCCTTTTCTTCTGTGGGCGTCACAAATTATTTATACACTTGTTTGACTAGTATTGGTGCGTACACCTTAGTCCTCACACTGCGTTTTGTGTTTCTCTCCTCAGCACATAAAGAACAGCGCAGATACCAACAAATATGAGGGCTGGCCCGAAGTCTTGGAGATGGAAGGCTGCATACCCCAGAGGCAGATCTGACCTCAGCCAAAGTCCAGTCTCTCCAGTCCACCCTGTCTTCCTGGCATCTCTGTTCACACTAGGATTTTTTAATGGTTCTTTTTATTGGCTGAGAACCGCTGAACTAAAAGCATTTTGATTTGACATTTTCAAGAAAATAAAAAAATTAAAAAAAACTGCAGGTACTCAGAGCAGGGAATTGGACCAGTTGTATTTTTGTTTGGATAAAGTTACGTCGGTGCAAACTGGAGCTCTGAGTGGAAGAGATTAATCTTTTAAGTATTAGTTTTCTATCAACCTTTTTTTTTTTTACACCCCAAAGACTGCACATTGGCAGACTGTTGCTTTATTTGAGTTAAAAAAAAAAAACAGAATTTCATTGCCCACATTTTTAAGAAGGGCTAAACTTTTTTTTTTTTTTTTACCCTGCCTTAAATCCACTTTTTGTACCTGTTTAACCAAGTTTGTTGTTTTCATCTTGGTTATTTTCAGAAAATTAACAAGCTTTGTCGTGCTTTTTTTCTTTTTTTTCTTCGCAATAACCAAATGTACCAAATTGACTGTGAACTTTGTAAATATTTTGTTAGAGGGGAGTCAGATTCAAAGAAGTGTAATTTAATAAAAATTGTAATAGAAATAATATAATTTCTTTAAATAAACAATATTGTAACTGTTTGGGATGTCTGTTTTTCCAGCTACAAGCAGATTAAAGTGACGATTTGTTCGCAGATATCGGTTAAAGAGGTAATGAACGCACTGATTGTGACATTTTAGCTATTTTGCGGGAATCTTCCGAGTCTATTTGGTTAAACAGCTGATGCATTAAGGGCAGAAAAGAACAACAAGTACAACTGGTTCCTTTAATCTTACTAAACTGAAAGTGAACCAGACAATCATGACAAGATTGCTTGCTTTTGATAAAAAAAAAAACAACAAATGTAGCCGTGTGAAAAATTACACAATTATGACAAAACACGTTGCCAAAACAATTGACTCATACAATTGGAGCTAAAATTTGGCGTAGTAGCTAACTCAATCGAGTGCCAACTTATTTCACAATATTGTTTTTAAAACTTTGCCATTAACTATTAAAGTCACTCTCTTAGCAAAATATTTCATGAACTAGTCTGATAAACTTTCAGAAAGTGCAGCTTACAAGTAGTTGGGACTAAAATGAACATGACTAAATGCAAAGCTATATTTCATTCACAATGGAACGTGCTAAACATGTTTAAACCAAGAAATTTTACCATTTCTGGGGGAAATGCAACAATGTTGTCCCAAAACCTTCAGGTAGACCATTGTACGGGATGAAGCATCATTTGGCTGAAATGGGCAAGACCTTCATTGAAATAAAAAAAAAATCTAGGACAGGAGACCAAAGTTCGTGCTCATTAATCCAGGTATAAATCCAACAATGTTCAGTTAGGTCATCTGGATGGTTTCTTTTATTGCTGAGACGTTTCATCCAAAGGACTTCTTCAGTTTGAGGAGCCCACCAAACCAAACTGAATCCCACAAACAACCAGAGTGGAAAACAGTTTGCTGGTGATAAGATGACCTCCAGGGCTTGCCCTCTGTCCCATCAACTCCCAACTAGGACAGGAAAATGTTATAAAACCTGCTTTTTTTTTTTTTCCCTCAGCTGTTCCCTTCTTCAGGGGTCATCACACATGAAGACTTGGCAATTATTTTTACACCGGATGCCCTTCCTGACAACCACCGAGCTACCACAGCCCTCTGTGTGGAGCAGAGAGCTGCCTACTAAGCACCCAGGGGAACAGATGGGGGTTAAGGGCCTTGCTCAAGGGCCCAGAGTGGAGCAAATGAGGGTGTTGTCTCAGGTGTGGGTGTTTCACATTTCCCACCCACATTTCGATGTCAGTACCAGGAGTTGAACCTATGATTCTCTCATCACATCTTCTCTAGCCTCTGCACCACCACTCCCAGTCAATGCCACGTCGCATCGAGGCAGTGATTAAGGCAAAGGGATTCCCAAACAAGTATTGAAGATTGACATCGTTTTGAAAGTACCATATTTTGATTGTTTTGTTGTGATCCTAATTTCAAATTTTTTTTTTCTGCAAAAGCTGAGTAGTGTGGGCTGATTTCTCCACAGTATTCTAATTTTTTGAAATCCTGTTTTTGCAGTTTTCATGAGCTGGAAGCCCAAATTATGTAAAAATAAACAAATACTTGTAATTGTTTAAATTGTGGGCCCTGAATCTATCATCTATTAAAGATCACCTTTTTGAATGGAATTATAGAAGTTAAACAACTTTTTCATGATGTTCTAATTTTTTGAAAAGGGTCTGGGAGTTATGGGAGCCCAGATTTCCTTGATGCTTGCTGCCAGCTCTTCTTTGTTGTTGGTCTGGCGCCCCTCATTTTCCTCTTGAGAATAACCCATAGATTCTCAATGGGGTTTTGGTCCAGTGGGTTGGCTGGCCAGTCAAGCATTGTGGCATGGGCATCAAACCAGGTTTTGGTGCTTCTGGTGGCATGGGCAGGAGCCAGGTCCTGCTAGAAGATGAAATCTGCATCTCCATACAGATCCTCAGCAGAAGGAAGTCATCTAAAACATGCTGGTAGACTGTTGCGGTGACCTTGGATTTAAGAAAGCAGAGTTTACCAACACCTGCACTTGACATTGCGCCCCAAATCATGACTGAAGTGGAAAGTTTATCCAAAAGATCCTGTATATTCAGTTGTAATTTGTTGTCTACGTGCCAGTTCCTCTCTCAGCTGAATATTTGGGACAGAATAATAAAACATGTTTCACTGTCTCTTCTTGAAAACAAGTCACATTTTCCTGTAGGATGTTTTCCCATTTTAAACAAGTAAACAACATGTACAAGCTATTCATGCCATAGACACTAATGCACCCCCATAGCATTAGAGAGGCAGACTGTATGCGCTCTCCTCTTTAAGAAGGAGGACGTCTGTGGTTTCTGACAAGAATTTAACATTCTCATTATGGCTGTGATAGCTTGGTGATCGGTACTGTTGTCTGGTAATCCTGAGGCTGCAGGTTCAAATCCCAGTTGCATCAGAAAAAGCATCTTGTGTAAAACACTTGGCAAATATCTTGTGCAAGTTTGCTCATTAAGGGAAGCAGCTGAAAGAAAAATAACTCAGTAGTTATTAAGTTTAATCAAAATGCAAGTACTCCTTTATCATCATAAGGCGATTTAAATTTAAAACTGGCACAAAACCTCTTTTGTTTTGTGTCTTTAAAGAAGAGTTTGGTTTTCTTGCTACTGGGTGTTATCTGTTAAAAAAAGGTGGAACTGTTGTTGAATCAGATTTTTCTTTAGACAGCAGCTAGAACAAAGATGAAGCGACAAGACTAACCTGCTCTGAGTCTGAACAGCTCTCAAAAGATGACAGCCATCCGTCAGACAGTTTTTCTTTATTTTTTAGTCACGCAATGACATACCATAGTGATGTTTATAATCTTCTAACAATACGTTTTTTTTTTTTTTTTTGTAGGTACAACGCAGCAGGTAAGTATTTGTCAGGTTGCCAAAAAAATATTTTAAAGCAGGACAACGAATATTTTGTGAATACACTTTCCCACAATGTGTATTTGAAACGTCAGCTTACTTAACACAAAAAAGGCCGTAACCCTGCTTACTTCACAGATAGAGCTAAATTAATGAATACATCAATTTAGCTCATCTAAATCATATAATCTGGAACTGGTCCAGATTACATGATTTAACCTTTTTTGTTGTTATCTGATGATTGAGCTTACAACCTTTTTTTCTGAATAAATACAGTCTAAAGGGGGGGGCATAGACATTAATACTTATTAATATCTATGGGGAAACCCCCTACATCACACCTTCCGGACATTCGCAGACTTCCGGCGTTGCCATGGAAACGTATAAACAAAGCTCAGCAGGGAATCACAGCTGGTAGCATAACCACATAAAAAATGTCTATAACTCTGAATTTTGGGGAAATTTAGCTAAAATTTCGTGCAATAGTAGTTGAACATCATCCTTAACTCATACACTGACGTGACACTTGTTTGTGTAAAACTTTGGCATTACAGTACCTGCAAAAATCAACACTGTCGAAATAGATGATGATTTTCATAATTTTAGTCTAAATCTCTAGCATGAGAAGATATGAGTCCATGAAGCGACTTTTGATTTTCTGATGCCAAATCCTCCACTGTTGGCAGAAACAATCCTGCAGGGGGCGCCATTTCATTACTTTTAATCTACTTTTATTGTTCGTTTGTCCTGTTTATTGCATTTTGTGTTTATACTTCAGAGTAAACACACTAGATGAATGAAATAAACAAAATACACTGTTTTCCATTAAGAATAAGGAACAACTGATTGCACAGTCAGGAGGGAAAATATATTAAATATGCTTCCACCTAAAAACAAAATGGAAAGATTTCAGACCTGTGCTGAGGACATGACTTTATTGTTGTAATGCACACAGTAAATGTAACACAATAAGCTTTAACCCCATGATTGTATGCAATCACTTGGAAACATTTTATTTTTCATACGTAGTAGTGAAGTGGCCTCCAAGTTCCCCCCAGCACAACCTGAGTGTAAAAACAAAAAAACACCTACCCTGCCGACACCTACTCCCCTGTGTTATTATAGGGTTACAAATTACACTTTTTTTTTGTATCTTTACTTTTATTCTTCCTACTGTGGCTCGTTCAGGAGCTATACCAATAAATCATTGTTTACATTCATACAGTTATAAATGTCTGTGTGCACAACGCTCTCAACAGAGCGTTCTCATCGGAGCCAATGTGGGCTGTGTGCGTCCTCGGAGCTCCAGGGAATGAAGAGTGGGAGTGGATCAGCTCGAACCCGTCTTATATAAAGCAACATATATGGTGCATTATGGATGAATGCGGCTCATCTCCATCGTATAAACCTCAAGAAGTCTTCTGGGAGCCTCAAGGCAGAAAAATATTCATGCAGGAACCCTATAAGGGCAACACACTCTCACAAAGAATGCCTTTTTTTTTTTTAATAGAATGGAGTTTCCCCCCCTCAGTATAAATCTGTCCATTAAACAAAAGGCTTCTAAAAACACTCAGCCTTCTTGTGACCTCCGACCCTCACCCTTTGACCACCTCAGCAAACTTTGAGGAATATTTTCCATTTACTGAGGATCTGGTAATGAAAGTGAATTTTCTGTCATTTTTCATTCCCCTCTTATATAAAGACGAACCGACTGGTCCAAAGTATCAAACTGAAAATGTGAAAACAGATTATTACCATGACCAACCGTGTGCACAACCAATCATAACGTTTTAGAGACAAATCTAATGGTTGTAGAAACAAAATCAGGAAATACAGATTTTTTTTTGTGCATCTTTGGACAAAATATTTCACTCTTTAAAATGTTATTTTATCAGTTACCTACTGCACACGAGGGCAGTGTTACACACATTTCTATAAAGATGTTCTGC